AATAAAAGTTACCTAGTGCAGCTTTAATTGACCTCTTTTTGCATAGAAGAACTTCCAGTTCAATTATAAATCTGTCAACACAGTGTAGAGCTTATGGGTATTATTGTCATCTTGATAAAAATGTATATCTGTCATAATTTATGTGCCTCAGTAAATCAACATATCTGCTCTTCTTTCTAAACAGTTGAGAACTCCTGGAAAAAAAAATAGTTTTATTCTTCAGATGAAATAAACTTTTTTGGTGAAGGATTAACTCATTTGGTTTTGATAATCAGTGACACTGGACAGGACAAAATGTGAAAAGGTTAACAGGGTCGGAAAGCTTTTTCAGAGCACAGTTAAATGTAACAAATGCACCTCAGGACATATTTAAAAAAAATTGTGAATGTATACCTGGATTGCTTTGCTTCTGTTTTTGTTTATTCCATTTCCCTCTGTTAATTTCAAGCATTTTTACAGGAACACTATATTTCCGCATGTGACGGCTCCGTGTGCTTATTAAAAGCTTGAATGTTGTTCCAAATTGCATTTTCAATTTTTAATGATCTCAAAATAAAGGGTGGAGAAAATTGTCCCAGTGCAATCATCCAGCTGAAGCACATTTTTTACTTTAACAGCGAGTGACCAACATTAGTACTGCTAGTACTCACAAAATATTCAACTTTTGCATCATCTAATACATTTTTTTTAAATGGGTTTTATTAATAGAGCTTACAGACAAAGAGTGTTGAAAGATACTAATAAGACGTCACCAAATTCTCTCTGGGCTGGCAGCAGCAGTTCTTCACACACAACAACATCTTTGCTTCCAGACTCCCAGTGTGCTTCATTTACATTCACAGGCTAACATTCAGACGTTCAATCTATCCAAAACAAAACAGACACATGAGTGTAATCATTGCTGCCTAAGAACAGCTCATTGAAAGCAGAGTACAGAGCAAGCATAAAGTGCATAAATCAGACAATGACAGGCAGCAAAGAGATCATCTTAAAAAGTCACATATGATGGCATTCTTTTGTAGTCAACAGATGGAATGATATTTCAAATTATTTATTTACTGAAACTCACAAAATGGTTGAGATTTATACAAGAGCACAAGACAAATATTACACAGTTCATGCTGAGTGTTGTACAGTTAGCAGCACTCTTTTTTTTACTTGCAAATTTTTATTGCTAGGAGAAATAACATTAACCTACTGGACAACTGAGAGGCATTATAGCACATGCATAAATTTTGCTCCACTAAAAAAACAACTTAATCAGAATAAGTGTTGCATCCTCTGCTTTGTTTTCAAATTTATTTCATCTACGGTTTAGCCAAGCCATACAGATTTATAAAGGCAAGGCGTAACTATGCTTATCGGCTTCAACAGTGAATCCTTTCGACGTTGTAAAAGACGTTTCAAATGTGATGTCCAAGCTTCTGATAGTAGATGTAAAAGCAATGTAGCAGTTGTTCTGTAAGCAAACATCTGAGAGGATATCACTTCACACCCAGTAAGGGTCTCATATTCTAGGTGATGGTTTTACTCCAGCAGAGTCAGCAGTGTTTTCACTCCAATAAAATACACTACAGCACCATTGCAGTTCATATATAAGCAGGAAAACATGGTAGAGGAAAGCCCCCCCCCCGACCCTCTCTTCATGGCTAAAAGCTTGCATACATCAAAATAGAAAAAAAAACAAAAAAACAAAACAAAAAGCCATTCAGCCAAACTGCTCAGCCTGCTATCATATTGCAGGGCTCAAACTTAAAGAAAGACAGCAGCAATTCATAAAGAGAAAACATATTTACACTGCAGGCAAACAAGTGTAATTCCCTTACATACTTTTCTGTTTCTGCTTTTTGCGCTTAGATGTTTCAGATTGTAAAACATTTTTTTTATATCAGACAAAAATGACCTGAGGAAATACAAAATGCTGTCTTCAAATGATGTTTTCATTAATTAAGGGGGGGGAAGAAAGTCATGCCAACCTTGCCCAATTTGAGAAAGTAGTTGTTACATTTGTTAAGTTATTAATTCATTGCTATTTTCCATGCTGGCTTTGTTTATTATTATTATTATTATTATTATTATTATTATTGGCAAATAGGCATCTTAAAACTCAAAGCATCTTAAAGGGTTACAAAGTCTTCTCTAAGGCTTTGGGGCTCCATTAAACTGCAGTGATGAAGCTCATTATCCCCAATGAGAGAAAAGGTGGAACAGCAATGAGTCTTCCAAAGAGTGGAAGATTTGAACAAACAGAGAAAAATAATGCTACTCTGCAATAATTAGCATGGCTAGGTTGTCTATTCTATTTTACAAAGCCATTCAGAACATTAGTTTAGGCAAAGTCAGTTGACAAAAAGGAAAATAAAAGTGGCCAAGAAAAGTAATTTAACTTCTTTGTGCATCTGCTAGAGCCAGCTTGCGCTACCAGTTTGACTCTTGACCTCCTGAAACTTATATAACTCTTAAGAAAAAAAAACAACAGCACTCAGTTAAGTGGCAACCAGGCTGAAAGGTACAACATAAATACATTCAAGAACAAATATCCATCAATTCACTTGGTGAACTTCTTCTTCTTGTTTTGTTGTAAACACAACCACAATGTTAAGCAGAGTCAGTATAGACACAATTTAGTTTTGAAAAGATGAAAGCAGTTCAGTAATGTGATTTAATGTCAGCTTCTGTGTGTGCCTATGAAAGTTACCTTCAGTACATTCTCTGGTTTTTGGCTCTTGATGTTTTGGTCTCTTACAAGCTGGCAAGCTATAAAGAAAGAAAAAAACTACAGCCAAAAAAAAAAAAAAAAAAAAACTGCCCCTAAAAAATATGAGTATATAGTTTCACTACAACATAGCTATACCAACACCAGAATCATAATGCCCTTTTATTTGAGTTATTCTGGCAGCTAGCAGCAGCAGCAGACCTGTTGCTACCTCCAGGCTGTAGGAGAGCCATGCCAAGGCTAACGACCAGCCAAAGGAGACTTGCACGAAGACGAGATTTTCAGGGGGAACAATCCGTTGGAACTCTTCCATGGCTTGATTAGAGTATTTGATGTAGGTACTGACCCCTGACAGCGTGAAAATACCTGTTAACATGCGAGACAAAAAAGAAAAAAAGAAAAGCTGCATAAAAAAAACAACAAAAAAAAGTATCATCCATTTTTAACACATTGCTTTGTTCCAGGAACAAAAAAATTGCATGCACCCTGCTGATGTGGACAAAATTGTCTGGACAGACCATTCTTATGTTTCATCACTGCACACCGCAATCACAGTGATTTATTATATAAAACTGTCCATGCATCAATTTTCTATAGCCAATTTAGATGGAGTGCAGGCGATTCTAGCAGATAGGAGGTGAGAGCACACCGGTCCATCAAACAGCACAACACAGAGACAGGAGCTCATGTTCATGCCTACGGCCAATTAATCCCTCTATGGCTGTGGAAAAACGATTTTTGTTTTTACACAAAGAAAAAAAAAATAGAACAAATTGTTTCATCCCAGCTGTCAAGAAATTACAACAGCAAAACAAAAATAAGTATTTTTGTATGTCTGTGCATGTTCAAATGTGTTCTGATATGTGATATCAGAACACATTTTCTGACGAAGTTTTGAAAATAACAACCTTTAAGCAGGTATTAAACCTACCTCTCATTAAACCCACATTTCTAAATAATTTTTGCTTGTTTGTTTTATTAGTTTGATCCAATATTCTCATCTTAAATGTCATGTTTTCATTATCTTAGTTAGCATAAATAAGTCAGTCTTTGTTTCATTAATGTGTGCAACGTCTCAGAGAATTAAACTTCTGAGATAAAAAAAAAATAACAACAAAAAAAAAGTTTTTTAGTTTATTTTTTGGATATGGCTGTATATATGTTTTTACTTATTTTTGGGAAAGATGCAAAATGGCTTAGGTAATGTGCAAAAAAAGACAAAAGTTACTAAGTGGCAGACTGCTGGTGGAGGAATGGTTTCAAATGTGTTCCTGTCAACTGACCCTTTCTCAAGACCAGCAGGTGGCTTAATTTTCTTATCTTCCAAATACGTTTCAAACTGTGCTAAGACCCTGCACAGATGCTCAAAAATGCAGTTAAAAGAAAAAAATATATAAATATATAGGAGCCTAGGTGTCAAGCAGGTTTTCACCAAGTAAGACATTTCAAATTGTGTGGATCATAAAAAAATACATTAACATTGAAGTTATTTTCTAAGAAAGCGAGTTACATTCTCACACAGTTTTATGAGAACAGTATTTTTTTGTGTGTAAAAAAAATCTGTCTGCTTTTGAAATGTCATTCAAAAGCAAAGAAAGACATATTGTCATTTCAAAAATACTAAGATGTCTCAGTCTCACATCATAGAAATGAAAAATAAAGGAGAAAAGCATGGAGTTCTCTGCCCTCTTCCAGCTTAAACATTCTGTCTATGTGTTTGCTGGTGTGAGCATCTGTGAAGATTTGAAGCATGTTCATCAGAGCACAACCCTCCGCAGCTAAAAGTAGCTTTGAGACCTCTGACAGGTGTTAACATGTCTCTGTCTTTTTATGGACAGATGAGGTCAGCGGGCAGGAAAAATTCACAACCACACAGAGTAGGCATAGGTCAGGTCCAACTGTCAATGACTTGCAAAAAATATTCATACCATTAAAGCTTTTACATATTTTTGTCACATTTCATAACATAAAATCTTAGAATATTTTCAAGAGATTTTATATAGTAGCCATCTTCCAGCCATGCCAAAGAAAACCCTTTTCACAGAATGATGAGGAGGGTTCAAGGTGTTATAATGAAACACCACCATGTTAAATTATAAATGTGTTTTTTTTGTTTGATTGTTTTTTTTTTCAGCCCAATGTGCAGTAAGCAAAACAAAACAAAACAAAACAAAAAAAAAACTCAGTCTTGGTCATTGCTGACCAGAGCACAGTCTTCCACATTTGCTTTGTGCCCGATGGGGCTTGTGACAAGATGTAAACAAGGCTTCTGATGGCTTTCTTTTAATGCTTGGCTTCTTGCCTTCTTACCATAAAGACCACTTGTGGAGAGAATGACAAATACTAGTCCTTTAACACTAGCTCCCACCTGAGCTGCTGATCTCTGCAGCTCCCCTGCAGTGATTAATGATCCCCTTCTCAGCCTGTTTAGGTGGACAGCTATGTCTGGGTTTGCATTTATAGAAAAGAATAGAAACATTGTATTGTCCCAGAGTCTGGAAGTATATGTTGGATATTATTTTATAAACTAAACCTGCTTTAAATGTTTAAAGTAATGTTACCCTTGCTGTGGTATCTTCCCAAGACAGCTGTATTTTTATTGTATTTTAGTATTATTTAAGAATATGCAATGAACAAAAAGCAAAATATTTTTGTTTTTAATTTCTTTTTTATTTAAATTTGTATGATAATAAAAAAAATAGTATATCTCTTCAGAAATGCCTATTTATAACTTTAATTTTGTTTGAAGAGACTGAATGAACAGATTATCATGCTTAGTAATTACCTAGAGGCTCCCGGTACAAAATTAATTACTAACTGTAAAACAAGAGCAATCCTGTTGGAAAATGAACACCTTAAGAGATGTTCTGCTAGAAATAAAGTACAATTGTAAGACAATGCAGGTTTTCAATTTCCTTGAGAATCAGAAATCACTTCCCATTATTCTCAAGTTAATTTTTACTTTAGCTTTGTAAAAATTGTCCAGCTTTGTCATTTTTTCTTTTTTCACAAAAACCCAAGACACTCATCTTCTGAAAAATTAGAACTAGCAAAGAAAAAAATGTCAATGGTAGCTATATATAGTGTTTATATTGCCTAGAATTCTGGGTAATTTCAGGTAAAATGTTTTGACAAAGAGTAAACAACACAACACACACACACACACACACACACACACACTCAAGTCTTCATGCTGTGAGGTAACATTGGCCACTGCAATTACAGAACAGCAGAGCGGCTTTTGTGAATTTATTCCCCAGTCATATGCAAATTATCCCAGTGTGCTGCCTCCAAAAATATAATCTGATCATTGACTCCACAGAAGGGAGCAGTGCTGTAAAGCTGACCATTGAATGGCATCTGGATGTTCTATAATGTATCATGAATCATTTGTTTCTTCTTTTCTTTCCTTTCTCTTTTTGTCTGTTCTTTTCTGTGTTCCTTGTGTTTTGCAATGGATGGAGGAATTGTCTCGGTTGACAGTTACCCCAGAGGTGAGCTGGAAAGACAGCCATTATTAAATGTCCTGAGCAGAACATCCAAAGTATTCAGTCATTAAATGAGCGATTCCATCTGACCTTTAGGAGGGCATGCTGGAAGAAAACACTCTGCTTCCACCATATTGAGCTGTGTTTACTCTTGGCAATTACTAATATTTAAATTCACAGCTGCTTGACTTTGTTTTTTTTTCCCACTCACAGTATAGTAAAATCTACATCCAGTGACACAGCAGCGAATTCAAATGAAGAGAATAAAAAACATTTATAATTGAAGCTAAAACAACAAATGTGTAAAAGGGTACAAAGGGTATATTACAGCTCTACTCTGCACTAATTAAACAATTTATTACACTTGTTTGCACTGTGCAGCACAGGAAAAAAAAAGGAAAAAAAAATGTCTGTTCTTTCACATCTCATGGTCACTGATGCCTCTCTAAAATCTAGAGATATTTCCCAGAGTATGATGGCAGTGCTAAAAGAGGGATCACAAACTGACACAAAACCCCCAAATATCAGATACCAAAATATCAAAACGTGATAATTCATTAAAAAGGACTGATGAGAGAGGCACAAAATCCTAAAACCCATTACCTCACTCTTTGTGTGTGTGTGTGTGTTTACTCTGGTCTTGAAGGTGGGAGAGCGCAGCATTAGCAGATCTTTTAATGTGGACAGAATATGACTAAGGCTCGGTATTTTAGCAGAGGGTGCAGTCATAATAAAACCTAATAATGTTTTATCCACAATGAGGGTAAAGAATCTTGAGAAATGCCTCCTGGTTTGCTCAAGGTCCTTTGACGCTTTCTTCTCTTTCCCTTTCTTTTCAGACAGCGTCAGCTTTTTCACACCCCTGTACTTTACGATTTGGACATGTCTCTGCACGATGTGCGGTGTCCTGGGTGGACACTTGGACCTTAGACTCAGTCTGTTTGTACCCTGACATCATATTTATTCCCACCATTATTGATTGTTATATATTATGTTAGATATATTATTGTATATTTATCTGTTCCCTGCATGTACATATATATGTACAGGGAGAAAGCGAGAGAGAGAGAAAAAGAGAGAATCTAATCAGAAAGGTTAATGGAGCGATGTCATTCTGAACTCTCAAAAACTGGTAGAATAAGTGTCCTTACTGTCTACAAATACATTTCTGTTCAGAGAAATGTTTTAAAGGTGCTTCTGTCATGTTTGGCTTGTGTTGTGAAGGACCCAAATTGAAACAGGGCAGAGGCATCTGCATGATGGTATCTATTGGTGAAAGTGAAGACTCACAGAACATGAGGGGAAATACACACAAACCAGGATTATGTCAAAAGAAGGATCCAGCAGTGAGTCAAAGAAACCAAGGAGCTCAAATACTGTGGAGATGTGATTTTTTTTATTTTTTTTTTTCATTGGAACTAGTTCAATACAATCAAGAAAATAAGTGGGGAGCAAGTGTAAAGGAGCTGAGGAGATTAGACTAACAAGATCACTGAAAGTGGAAATACTACTGTCAGACTAATAAACACTATGGAAGCAGAGATTAATATAGAAAACACAGAAACAACTCAAAATGCAAAGTCCAAAATAGAGAACTTAAACAAAAGCAAATCAAAAAGTCCACGTGATCATGACAGCTGAATTTAAACACCAGTTTTATAAGGGGGATAATAATGTCATGTCAAATATTAAGTAGACATGTTGGGCCCGGGAAGGAGAGTGTGTGTGGATGGGTGTAGGGTCTTTTACTCCACAGCAATCTTTTCTGAGATTTCACACAGCTTCATTGTGAAGTATTACTGTGAAAGTGCTGTCATCAACACAGTCAATTAAGTCGTTATCCATGCTGAGGTGGTCTGGTGGTAATGAGTGTTAAAGTAATTGGTCAACATCAAGAAGGAACATCTTACTATCCTCTTCTGTTATACCCACCTATTTCTAAAAATAAGACAAAAATGATCCTTATTCTACTTTTGCATTGATTTCAGGAGCAGGGAGGTAATTTCATGAGACATTTTCACACACAGAAAGACGTTTTGAGCCAAGTCCACTAGGTGAGGAAGACACAACCACGTATGTAAGACAAGTTCTGAGGAAGCACACATTCTAGAAATTACTCACCCAAATCTCAGTAGTTCTCTCAACGAGAATAAAGACAATTTAACAGTAAGATGTCTGAAGGTATGAGTGAAATAGGAAAAAAAAAGATGGAGTGAGCACTTGTAACAGGTATCATAAATTAATTGTTGGTGAGTTCTGAGATATAACCATCCGTTACTAAGTATAACAATAAAATGTTTATTGTTATATGTTTATGTGACACAGTATTTTAAATCAAAAGAAATAGGAAAGACGAAGTTCACGTCAAAGCCATAGCCAATAGGTTATTGCACGGTGGAAGCTGATGAAATGATGATGTGTTGAGTTACAATACTCTCTGTGCTGCTCACAGAGCACTTTTAAGTCCTTCTGCATGGTGCAGGTTTGTTAAGTCTCCAAGCTACTGCACTGAATTGCATGTCTGCTGAGTGTATCATACAAAGGAACTGCTTCTACGAATGGCTTCAAATGGAATATGGAATTGTGGTGATGGCAGCCCGAAGGCGCATTGGCTTCTTCAAGAGACACTGACCAATTTAAAGACATCAAAATGTGAAGTCAAATTTCTTCTAAATTATGTATGTTTGAAAAATGCAGCAATTTTATAACAACTGAAGGTTACATCATTTGCTAGACTGTGCTATTAAATGGCGCTATGTGCCTCAGAAATACATAACAACCCTCCTTTTAAAACTGTTCCAGAATGAAGTGGAAGCAATAATAATAATATTATGAACTCTAAAACTTGTCATGCTTGTCATAGTGCATAAATTTATCTAAGTTGTATAGGTTTTTGAGCTTCAAACTAATTGGAAACAAAGCAATTCATGAACTTTCACTGCAATTTTAGCACCTATGTTTCCACATTTACATTGTGGTTTCAACACAGACACACCACTGACATATTCTTTCCACTTCAGAAATGTAATTGTCGACTAAAACTCAATTACTGTGGGTGCAAATGCAGCAAGATATGTCTCAGTGTTGCAAAATATCCATGTTTCACACGTCTCATGACGCTACATAATCTTAACTTTAAAGTTTAGAGAAAACTGCATATTCGCAAAATCTGTCGCTGGACTCAAGCCAGGGTTTTGTTTTGCTCATTAAATTCTTATTTTCCTTTTAATAATTTATCATCTTCATCACCCACTGAAATAACACTTTGGGCAAAAACAAACATGTCACAATGAGATATGATTTCTTTTTTGTGCAAATGACCCACATGTTTTTTTTTTAGAAACATTTCAACTCAAACTACTTTAACACATACCACACTAACACACTAATAAAGCTGGGGTGTTTTTCATGGCAGTCCCTCCACTCAAGTGTACTTCCCATCCCACAAAATCTGAAAGTAGTGGTTTTACTAAGAGATGAATCGGATGCAAGAGCAGCTGAAGCTGAATTTTCAAGGTTTCCTCTCACATGTAAACATACGTCTATGTGTTGTATTGCACATCACAACACAGCACATTTGTTGTTGTTTTTTTTGTTTTGTTTTTTTTTTAATCTATTTTGATTATAACCTTCATGCAAAGCACAGATTCTGAATTCAAGCACAGCAACACATCAAGACATGTGAACGAACTTACTGCAGAGGAGAACATAGGAAGCCGATGCAGCCAGCAGCCTGGGACTGCAGGCCAATGAGCTGACAAGTCCGAAGATCCATCCGAACACCAGCAGTACCAGGCTGAGAGGCAGCAAGATGACCACTACCTTGTGCAAGCCTGCAAACACGCACATTTCCAATACAAAGAAAGGACGGGGGGGTTGTTAGAGGGTCTGAACTACAGCTGTGTTGTATTTCACTGTAATGCTGTGTGCAATCATGTGGAAAAGCTTCCAAGATTTCCAAATTGATTTTAGCTATCTGGGGAGCCTTTGGGGCTTTTATTTCTACTGTCAGTAGAGGATAATCAACTTGCAGACATGACGAAGGTACCCCTTTTCTCAGCAAGTGATTTAACTCTATTTCTTGCGAGGTTGTAAACATGGGCTCTTTGAAACCCCCATGGACTCTGATCTAATCTGAGGCCTCTGTGAAGCACTGTTCCTCCACAGAATGTTCAAGTGGGCTTATTGTTAGTCCGGCGAACATGCGGTTCCAGGTTCATCTCAGCAAGTAAGAAAATTATTAAAGCAATATTAATCTAAGCTGAAAAGGAATCATTAAACAGAAAGTAATGCAGTTCTGAGATAAACTTTTAAAAATGGCTCTTATAGCTGATTAAAACCAAAAATTCAGCTTCTTGTAAAGTTGGACTATTAGTAGACTAAGAAGCGCAAATGTCATGTGTCCTCACAAGCATTGGGCAGAATGCTGATTTTTTTTTTTGACCAGCAAACAGTCACTGATCAGTCCCAAAAGGGTGCTGCTTTGGAAGCTGCAGGCTCACGGAAGGCCATTAACTAATGGAAAGCTAATTGAAAGGAAAAAAGTGTAACGACAAAAAAAGTGTACAAGCAACAGGGTTAACCACATCATTACCTACAACCATGTTTTTATTGCACTAAGTTATCAACCATGGAGCATCCTAGGTAGACTAAGGAGAAAAAGTACTGGACTGTGACAGTATGGTCCATTTTATGTGGAAATGAAGGTCGCTTAGTCTACAGGAAGAAAATAGAGGCACACAATCCATATTACTGGAGATCCAGGGCGACAACCGCACACTCAGTGAGGACTTTGGGAGGCCAAGTCATCTGCAGGTGCTGTTCCAGTGTGTTTTAGTGAGTCCAAGGTCAGCATGGTCATCTGTCTAGATGTTTTAGAGCCCTTCATGCTTCCTGCTGCTGACAAGCTTTATGGAGAGGTTGAGTTCATTTTCCAGCAGGACTTAACACCTACTCATACAGTCAAGTTTAATATGAATCACTGTGCTCACCTGAAACAAACCTCTAAGAGAGTCTACCACATACAGTGACCACATATAAGTTATTCATGCACAAAGAAGCACCGAGTGGACATACTTTATATATGTCAATATTTTTGCATTAAAGCTAATTTTTTCTCGCTCTTACATAAAAATTCAAATTTGTTGGAAAAACCTCAATTTGAGGGTCTTCTTTAGCTGTGAGCTACGAGCATCAAAATTAACATGGGTATATGACTGAATAACGTTACCAGAAATTAATTTGCTTTTTGATTATATTGCACCCATGTGTGACAACCACTTGAATTCTATTAAACTCTTTAGTCAGTTGTTTAAAAAAAAAAAAAAAAAAAAAACACTCACCGAGAAGGTGCCTTTCAGTCTCTGATAGGCTGGACATATTTGCTGTAAAAGAAGGGATGACTGAACTCCTATTTGCACCTGAAAATGTCAGAGGGAAAGGTTACAAATGACAGACATTGCGGACCACCTCACAATACTAGAAAAAATAAAAAATAAAAAAATAAAAAAATCAAAAGCAAAGAATCTGCCTTTCCATTTCCTTTTTAAAATGCTCCAGTGTGCATGTTGTGCACTGAGAATTCCTCTCACTAGATGTTCAGCTATTGATCGGATGAAGGCTTCATGTTGTTACATTACTTTACAATTATTGTAAGAACTGTAGGTGCAACCTGCAACACATCTAAAACATATCAGTGGATGTTTTAGATTAAGGACTTCAAGCTGTGCAGACTAAGAGCAGAACACATAACAGCACTCACATGAAATCCTTAACAAGCTCCTTTGTGCACTCAGATTTTTGCGCATAAGAGGTTATATGGCACTCACATTTTTTCAAATAGATGTCATTTCAATTCAGTCAGTATTTCACATATATTAGTGGATGTTTTAGATCTACTTCGGTCAGATCAAAAAAAAAAAAAAACTCACTATGGTGATCTGAGATTCACGTCAGGTTGCTTCAGCACCTGGGTTCTGCACAACCAGCTGATGGCTGATGAGGGTTTTTAATCGGGAGCTGATGATGATGATGATGATGATGATGATGATGATGATGATGATGATGATGATGATTAGAGCAGTAGTGCAGCATCAGCACACAAATAAACATATTTCATATAAAGAATATTCGATGCGTTCATGTATTTGCATTGTTTTAGAAAAATATGTTCTTGAATAGAAAGGTTGAATCACAAAATAATTAACTGCGCGAGTATTTCCGCATGGAATTTAAAATTGCAGAACTAAGTTGCAATAACTGAGTAGATTTAACATGCTGGATGATACCGAAGAGGATGCATTTACAATTTATTAGTAAGTGAATATGAAATCCCCAAACCTTCAATGATTCTCCACAATCCAGAGTGTGAACTCAGGTCATTTGGCCCCGTGTGGTTGGGCTTGTTTACATCGATAATGTACCAGTAATCAGTTCCGATGGCCACAGCGAGGAATGTGAAGCTGAGTAAACCAGTAAAGCCAGCCGAGAGCACAACCAGTCCATACTTCATTGTTCACTCCTCAGAGCAGAGACCGCTTAATTTTTCCGCATCGGAGGAGACGCTCCGAGAAACGCGGCGCGTAAAAGCTCTCCAGCTGGATCCATCCCTGCAAAGTGATGTTTCTCCGCTCTAAAATCCAGTTGCGAATAGAAAGGACATTAAAAAAGAAAGAAAACTAAAAAGAAAGAAACAACAAAAATATTCCACTGGTTATATCCACCTGAGAAATGTTAAACAAAAAGGGAAAAGCGTTTATACAAACAAAATGTGAGCAGCCTTGTTTTTTTTTGTCGTCCCTCATCACTGAGAGGCGGCGACTGCTGTTTGATTTCTGTGGCGCTCCTGGATTAATCCATATTATCAAGTTAAGTGAATAGAATGCTAAGCTTCTGGTCCGTAATTTCAAAATAAAACACGTCTTAGGAAATAGTTGTGACTGTTCTTTTAACAAAATAAAACACACCCGCCTGTCACTGACCGCAGTGGAGTAATTCCAGTCCAAATTTACCAGGTTGGAGCTGGCTGTGTGTTTTTTTTTTTTCTACATGGGGGCAAACAATAAAATAATGTAACAAAAAGGAAGGGCAATATTTCACCACTTAATACTAAGTGAGCCACAGAGTCAAAGAGCCGACTGCATATCCAGGGCTGCAGGTATAGCGGGTCGTGCAGCAGATGTAAACTGTGACTCTATCTCAATATGGCTGACGCTAAAAGTGTGAATCCTTCATTTTTAACTAATTGTTAAAGGGAAAGCATAAGGGCAAAAAGTGAAACTAGTCCAATGGCTGATTAGTTATGGTTTCTGTAACATATCACCATAAAGTATTGTATGAGATAAGATAAAAACAAAAATTGTTGACTAAAAAATAATTTGGTTTGGTTGACATATGCATCCCAAAGAAAGATAAAAACAAATACTTCATAAACATTCATCGTAAAGAACTTACAAAGAAAACCAATATGTAATCTGCAACATTGTATTCACTTTTTCTTCCTGTTGCTGATTCCACAGTGATTTTGTCTATTAGTCCCACAGCGTGTTTTCTTGCATAGCTCTGTGAATTTGTTTTCCAGTGAACAATCCACGATTTGGGAGCAGCAGATGTTGAGGAGCCTCAGTTTCCTGGTCTTCAGCTGTCGAGAGGACTTTGAACCACGCTAAGCTGTCATACAGCAACACTCTGAAGGGAAGTAGAAATGGTCCACATTGAACACACTGATTCCAAAGGAGCAAACTAAATAAAGCCTATGTTGTCGTTTGATGGGCAGAAAATTCACATGAGAGAGGGCGCCAGGAGAGGGCGCTATCCACTTATGCTCCTAGATATTTGAATATCTTCAGTACAGGGACCATAACAGGAACCAGGAGCAGTTCTACAGAGGCAATGGCACCTGTTGGCCCATATCTGGAATTGGCCATGGACTACAGTACAACATCTCAACATCAGGGTAAGTGTAATTGTTACTGAAAAAAAAGAAAGAAAAAAAACTGTGATCTCAAATTCTACATTCTGATTTATTACTTTTGTGGGGAAATCTGAGTTAAAATTTTGACTTAGGTATCGTTAAGCATGTCTGCCATTGCTCCCTAATAAGAACAGGGCTGTGGACATCTTTAGGAGGGGTATGAATGGGAGGAGACAATAACAGGCTGTCATGACATAATAATAATAATCAAAGCTTTAAAGATTTATAATGCTCAGACAGTGTAATTAGATAACCTCTCGTTTCGGCAGAACAAGTGTTTAATTAACGATATTCAGTCTGAAAACTAGGTCACTCTTCTTGGAGTACATTTTTATGATGTTAAGAATGATTCTGAAACTTTTATCACCTTTAATGTTTAATATGCACTAAATTGTTAAACAAACACATCTGTTCTTGGTATTTAGCAAAGGATACAACATTTGGATTAATCTGGATTGATATGTGTTTAAGCATTTTGACTAATCTCAAGCTTCAGATTCTTGTGTTGATTTGTTCCATCGAACTTATTGAATCAGAATGACTGTAAATAAACTTCAGCTGTCCTTGGCGGATTGTTCTGGACTTTCTTATCTGCAATATCTAACAAACGTCATAGTTTGCAATGGGGTTTCAAAGGATGAACAGGACTTTATTCATTTTGATCATCTTTTATCACAAATATATCAATCAGAGGAAGAACAGAAAACTACTGCATTTACATATAGATATATAACAACCTAACTTTTTCCTCAGTTAAACTACACATTTTATTTAAAAAGGTTGAATCTTTCCATTTCTGAGATAAACAGTAATTAATAAAAGATTGCACCATAGCATTTGAGCATTTACTTTGAAATGAGTGAATTAATGAGGTGTTGTAATTTCTTCAGCGTACGGTAGATGAAACTTAATACACAGAAGAGAATAAATGATTGGGAAAAAATGTGGGATAATGTAGTTGTTCCAAAAAACTTGGCTCTTCTCCAAAAAATATGTTAAACCAAGACAGAAACTGTTCAGAGATGCTGTCAAGACATTGACAGCAACACTGCAGTGTAAAGCTGCAAAACATTCCAACAACCACTGATCAGATGCCAGTAGTTTCCTATTTTTACTATGTGCCCAAGGAATAGAGTTGCGAGATACAAGCCTGTTCTTCCTAGGAATCATCCAACCCTGCCTAATATCTCCCAAAAACTTGTGTTTTGCACAAGAGAACGAACTATGGTATAAAATAATAAAAAGGAAAAATCCTCTTTGATTTCAGAACAAAATCTTCCACAATAAAGCACGCTGGTGGCAGCATCGGCTTCAGAGATGACCTCAGATCCAGCTGGGTTTATGTCAAGGTTGACGCATTTCCAAACAGTTCCAATTATCTGTCAGTTTTCATTTAAAGCCTTCAGTTGTTATCTAAAAATTTGGAAACAAAGGGAATTCATTTCGAGCTTCACAACATACTTTCAAATCAACAACAGAGTTGGTTAATAGAAGAAAAATTCAAGTTCTTAAATAGACTAGCCTGAACTCATACCTAAATGATTTCCAGAGAATGGTATCCTTATAGTCTGACTGATGTAAATTAAAAAATGCCTTGCTGAGTATTAATTAGCCAAAGGGTGTGGATGCTAATGTCACTAGGCTATTGCTCCTTAACCTTGTTGTGACTTTATAGCCATTTTTTCCCCATTGCAATTAAGCCTTCCTATTACAAAACAGATCTACAAAAACATATCCCCATGTCAACTTCAACAATCCTCTTCACTTTTTCACACATCAGAGACAACGTCAATATCTTGGAAGTTGTCTTCAGGTCACCGCAGGTCAGTCAGTCTGGCTCATGTGGAGACATTTACCCCTTTCTCTTGTTTAAAATGGCCTGCTTTGTTGCACAGGGATGGTGAGTGAAAGGCAATTTTCAACCCTGCTACAAATTTTGATTTAGCCTGAGCTTTGGAATGCACTCTCCAGGACATTTTGAGTTCATTCTTTTGTAGCCTTGTGGCCTTAGAGCTATGGATGTTGCCTAAGTCTCACAGGAAATAAATCTTTTACTAAGTTCTCCTGCATTCTGCAGAAAACTTTTCTCTCTGTTGTTTCTTTTCCTCATTCGCTAGAAACATACATGTATATCTTACAAGGTTCTTTTTTATGTACGTTGTCCTCGAACCGGAGTGTCCTCATACAGGTTTTGTAGGCACAAGGTGACTATTAAAGTGAAGTAAATGTCTTAGGAAATAGATGTGAATAACTATGGGACCCACAGGAACCAACAAGAGTCTTTGTTCCCGAGCATGTTTCTATCATTCCCAGATTACGTAGCTGAGTTCTTCAGCACTTTACCTCAAGAACTCAGGAGATATGGTCAAATCCGTCTGCCAAAATAAATTATTTAGCACGGTTCTGGGGAAGAATTTTAAGTCAGACTGTCTATAATGACAAGTCTGTGTGGAAAATGTATTTGACCTTAAAAGCAAATATTCTTTGGCAGAGGAACGAAAATTGAGGCTTGATGTAATCCCTGCCTGTTGTTTGACTGGCATTTTTCATCATTGTTCCCTTGACCCTCTTGACTCTTGGCTACTTAGAAATTTCTCACCCACTCACACCTTCTTTCGCGAGTTTTACTTAGTGATTTGACTTGACCATGCTGCGAGGTTTTTTGCCTCTGACTAGTTGTTTTCTGTACTTGCTGTCATGCTTAGGGTGTTTCAACCTGCTAAAAAAAGAGAAACACACAAAACAATGCTCAGCTTCACCTATGCCTCATGCCTCATATTATTCTATAACACATTTGTATGATGCAGAACTTAGAGCTGAATCAATAACCTCTAATCAGATAGAAAAAAATGACCAGAACTTTGAAAACAAGAGTCTTGGATAGTTCAGTTTAGTTTTAAATGGAGTGATTTTACATGCTTGTTTGCTGTCATAGTGACTAAAACAACATGACAGCATATTGTTGCAACTGGATAAAACTGTAAGATTATGCAGAACATATCCAATGCAGGGTAAATTAGTCCATTGGCTTTTTTTAAATAAAAGTAATTACAAGACTTAGCAAATCCTATAATTAAATATTGGCAAATTTGCCAATATTTGTAAATTTGTAGATGGAACCACCTATAGATGATTTCTTTGTAGCTCAGTGATTTATCTTTAACAGGTGCCTTTTCATATCTTTAAATATCCCTTGCCAGGATGAAAAGAATGCTCAGCCTTTTGAATCCCTGAGAAAGCTTTTAGATTTTCTAACAACATTGTTCAATAGGAAAGAGAACGAGAGAGGTTTTTTTTTTCTACTGCTTCTTTTTGAACATTTGCTTAAATCATTTCCATCAGATTTGGACTCTCTGATTGTAATTGGATAATTGGATTAATTGGAGAGCTCGAGAAATTATGATGTTATTATGTAATGTTATCACATAGTCAAAGGGATGTACAAAACAGTTTAGTGACGCATTGAAACAAAATCAACCTGATTTTGTGTGAAAGCGAATATTGCTCTACGTGTGCCTCTCAATTTATTATTACTGACCATGACATGTTATTTCTATCTTTAAAAGGCTTTGTGCTCATCAGGACTGTTGAGCGTGGAGTCTTGTAATAGGGATCTATTTTTTGATACTATTAAGGAATGAATTTAAAATAATAATGATAATAACAATCCCAGTTGTGGCTATCGCACTAGACAACACTGAAATGGTTCTCTCTAATGCAAGCAGGGATCCTGATTATGAAACATTTTTTTGTTACAAAACCTCTAAAGATACACACACACAATTTTCTTCTCCTATTCACAGATGCTCAGAAATAATTTGTTTAATGTACAGCACATTATCTGCAATTGCAATATGG